ACGCTGAGATCCTGGGGCGAGGAAGCGACCAAACAGCTAGGGAGACACTCGATGCCTGGCATACCACATCCAATATATATATATATATAATGCAAATCATGAAGTTTCTTACACAGAATTTACAAACACATCTCATTCGGAATCCAGGCAACGGCACAAACATAGTTGAGCCCTTGGCTATATTGCAGAGTCGCGATTCTCGTTCCACTAGGGAATTCTAAACGCGATCCATTGACTCAGGTTAATGCTGTGTATTTGGTAGCACCCACCATTTCATCACATAATGCAACCTCAGCTGGCTCATTTATGACCCTCAGTTAACCACGGAAATCACAACGTCCATCTTGCCTCAAAAACTGCATTTGTTTCAAGACGTGCTTAAAGCAAAATTGGAACAGATGTAAACGTGTGCCAATGCATGCGCCCAAATATGCAACTTTCGCCGCAATTATTGCTGGCCGGTCCCTACCTGGAGCCCGGTGGATGTTGCTCCTTGCTCCGCTTTATTGCGCCAATCTTATGCCGGGGGTATTCTGTATTTAGTCAGGCAGTTGGCGATCCAAATTCCTGGTATATCCACCTTCCAGACACAAATTGCCTGAGAGGTCTGCGTTTCTTTCTCAATTTGTTTGAAGATTTTAAACAGGGAGCTGTGTCGTGGAGAGAAGAGAGCATCGAGCCCTTGGTGTAGACGGGCATAGCAATAGGTCCACTTAGCCATTTCTCCCAGTCCCAATCGTCTGGATGACATACTTGCTGCTAGAGTGCATTTTTTGATCCTACCAGACAACTGAGGATCATTGTTTGGCGAAGTATAATTGACGGTAGACGTTAATATGACCTGGCTACTTGCATCACTCGACATCCGTTGACGGGCTGGCTTTCTTCAAACATCGCTCCAGGCGGCCGTGTTAAGCAAACAAATAGATTAGTTGCCGATACAAGCGCACATGCGTGTCCCAGGAAGCAATTGAGAAGAAGAAGACTCAATCGCTGGGACAATATGTCTTCTTCTTCTCAAATAGATTAGTATTAGATGGCCAAAAAGCGTACGCTTTTATTTGTTCATTCTTTGGCCTTTACAGTAATAGGACTTGACTATAACATCTGACTTCTGAACACCCTCAACCCTCTTTCACATACTCACTGTTTATTGGACGTTAAGACTTCCTTTACTTTACCGTCCTTTATATTACTGTAAAGGGCTGATGATGAATGATGAAAGGCGTAATTTTGCCAAACTCAAAGGTTTGAATGAATGATACTTCAGTATGTTATTCGTGCCCTCTTAGACTGTTGATAGAGAAAATGTGCATGGGGATGATCATATTAGGAGAGGCACTTCTTTCAAGCCATCCTGGCAGCAGAACAGCAAGATTAATTAGAATTAAGTTGGCATCATTGGCTTGGAACCCAGATCTGAAAGACAAAACTAAAATAACTTCTCCTGTGATCGATCAATAAGCGTCATTCAAACGAATCTCAAACGCCTCTCAGAATACACTTTGAATTAAGAAGGAAGAAGGTTTAGATGTGCGGCACAGTTCCTTCATCAGCTGGTGGTCATATCCTCTGAGGTTTCCTCTTGGCACCATTTTAAAGGGATCCTCTCACTCGAAATCCAGATAAGATTCAGGTAGCAACCGGAACATTGCTATACGGTCACCTCTGTCCATTCTAAAGGGGAGGAGACAGAGACCCAAGGCAGCCAGTCGCTGCTCGTATGTCAACTTTTAGAGTTAAGAACCGCCTTCGTTGGACGCTTTCCGACATATTCAAACGTCCCTATGACTTTCCTATGCCGTGGCCACCAAGCTTATACCGCATATTCCAGTTTTAATGATATTCCTGTTAATAAATATCCTTTTAAAAAGGGTCTGCAAAATGTGTAATGCGTGTATGCTTATTTCTCATGTACCTCTGTGTCGGGTTGATAGTTGATTTTCAGCACATTTAAAACGCACGATTTGTTATTAATTAACGTCCTTTGTTACAGCCATTTCGAGGATAGTTACGATTGCAACAAGCTTGAGATCTTCAGGACGTGTCTTTTCTAACAATCCGCTTTTTATGCTAAATGGCCAACCTTTTTTCCGTAGGTAGTCCTAGTTTATTTATACTGAGGGATTGAAGGACATTTTCTTCAGAAACTTAGGTGCCATACAAGCTGGACGGCTACATTAAGATGGAAGGTCAGTCATTGCAAAAACTTTATTCGATCTCCGAAACATCCTCACTCAATCGTCTTGATGCAGTTAAAAACAAAAGTTACAATCAATCTTACTGGTGGTGTATAGTCCCGTTCTGCGCAAACAATGACAAAATTAGCTTATGTAGGCCCATTCCTATACCCCTAGTCTCAGTTATTTGTCCTGTATAAACGATGGTTATCGAGTTTTTGGGGGTGGAAAAAAAGGATGAGCACAAAAGGAAATTTTTAGAAGTAAGAGTAAAATGGAAAATAATTTAGTCGAAGTTACTTCCCGCGGGCGTTAGAAGTAAGTTGTTCCGCATGTAAATTGAAGGTGTGCGCGGCGCTTTTCACCGCAGACTTTACTAATTTAACTCCAGAACCGTAAGTTGGACCTCAGGATAGTTGAAGTAGACGACCTCCTAACCACCTGCAGGGAGTAGGGATTAATTAGTAGGTCTACATAAGCTACTGTTGCCCAAACAATCTTTCTCCCACTACCTAGGTGCACTAGACTAAAACAACGGAGCTAGTGTGGGGCAAGATATGGAAATGTTCCTTTTTTAATGCCACCAAGGCTCCTCCTGCAAATCCGTTATCTTTTCCGTGCCCTTGTAGGCGGCAAAGCGCTTCAACATCGGCGCAGTCTGTCGGGAGGGCACTGTTCGCGCCACTCAGGGAACCGTTGAATTACGCTTCGCCAGGCTAGATTCGAACCGTCCTCTGCCTCAACTGATGGGCAAACTCAAGTGCACGGCATTATCAGCGGATGCCATGAAGCACTGCATCGTCCAACGCCCATTCTCGAACAACACAGAATTCGCCTTCTCAGTTTTCCTGCCAAATGCGGGCGAGTACATTCTACAAGTTTACGCCAGCGACCCCCAACGTGGTGGTGACTCCTACGTGATGGTGAGTGTCACTTTTAATTTTTCAGTGAACGGCATCGGGTGCTTCCAGCTACACTCCTTCCTATCCCTCCCCTAAATGTAACTTTCTCAGAAAAGTGTCACCGTGCATTAGCGATAATCACACATACTACCTACAGTCGAATACCCACTTCTTATGTTCTGTATTGTTCTCCCCGTGTGAGATGCCGCGTCACGCATCTCTCCATAATCCGTTAAGAGTCATCCATCTAGTAAAACTAAATCTATTTCTTTCGTTAAAATTGGATGGCAGGCATTCCAAAAATGTAATTTAAGGGAGGCACATTCTTCTGAGTAATGGAGAAACTTTATTCAGTACATTTTCGACACTGGATCCCCAGGTCGTCATCAGAATTGAGAAACTGTGCAACGAACAATTAACATTTCCAAAATGCCGGTCCACTTAGTTAGTCATCCAGTATGTGCGCAAATTGGCAGCTGCAGTTTGCGTCACTCCGTGGCGGACACAACTAGGAGTCGCAACAGCGTAACTGCTAATTGGAAACAGTAGTTTGCGTTGGTCCTGGGTCAGTCCGCGTCATCCGAAGTGTTTGCTAATTTTGATTAACGTTGGTCCGTGGTAATTGGCAGTAGTCCCTTCCATTTTTCTTGGAGAGGTTTGTATTCTATTCAACTCGATACGTACTTGGTTGATAGCAAATGGCGTCTTCTTTGAATTTTATACTTAAAGAAAGGGTATCTTTCGGTTTTAAAAAAAGTTGCTCAATTGCCGAATAATTTACTAATTTAGTGACAGCTACACTCGAATTTAAGGTTTAAAAACTGCGCTTTTTTACACCCTGCTTAAGTAAAAGTACATTTATATCTGCAGTTTAAGGAAGAAAACACATAGTTGACCTACAATATTGCAATAGATGTGGAACATGTTTTATGCAGTTTACGCAGCACAAATAAATTTACGGATACGATGTATCATGAATAAACACCTCAAAATTGTAAAAAAAGCACATAATTAGCAATTTTTAATACCGAAAGCTACACTTTCTTTGAGTATAAAATTTAAAGAAGGCGTAATTTGCTATCGAAAAAGTACAATAAATAATTTTTTCGTGCATGTTTTCCATAAAATATCTTTAAATTTATAAAGACAGTCAAAATTAATGATAAAAAGGCATACTACTTAAGTTGCCAGTTTTTACAATAGATACGTTCTGCTAGTGGTCAGAATGAAGCGCGTTGAAAAGCGCGCACCCTGTCATGACTGAATTGACTTCAGAGTAGACTTCACGATAATCAGTATCACAACCCGAGTCAATGCCGATTAGCGAAAGAGTATCAATCTTTGGCATATGTCGACATGTTGCGTGATCTTCGGCGACTACTGTACATGTATTTGTCATCGTAGGCTATTCAAAAAAGAAGTGGGTGAAGGGAGGTCGATAACTGGCTGATTTGGCATTCACACAAACATCTGCGTTGGCGCCTGTGGGCGGGCCGGGCTTCCAAAGCTTTTATAAAACACACATATCTCTGCAGTGATCAAATTTCCTTCATCCTCATTGCAGGAGAGTACAAATTAGTAGGCCGAAAGTAAAGGAGCCACATTTTCCCCGCGGAGCTTAGCAGACGAAGGACTATCTGAATGAAGTGAATATTCTGGTCTGATGGGCTACACAAATACGAAGAGTCCGGAAAGGTTTGTATAATCTTTGCGTGGACGGAAATACCTAAGTGTGCCACAGAAAGTTTTTTCTATAATATAAATGTCGACTCCTTTGCTTGCTTTCTTACTCAGATATGGCGGTACCTGATTAACTCAGATCGAGCCTCTCCGGTATGTGGTTTGCCTAGTCTGCCACCGAACTACCTGGGGCCCAGTCCCAAATTCGCGGAGTTGGGCCTCTAGACGGTGAGCCATTCGGATCCCTTCATCAGGGCGGGCGCTGGGGAGCTCTGTGTTCGTTTGGCCTACCAGGAGAGTCTGCCCCTAAAATGAAAGGTAAGGCTTACATTTGTCACAAATGATTCTTCGGACGACTGCTCTAACATGGTTAGTACATTTTCTCTATTTTGACATTTTTTTCTCCGGTTTTTAACTGAGCGCCCTAACGCCGCAACAATACCGTAAGTTACTCTCGAAGTACACCAACAACGTTTACTGTGGCGGCATGCACTATCGGAGGTCATGATTTACTATTGGGTCCAATAGGTGCTCACTTTTGGTCGGGACTCCATTCAACCTGTCCCTTTCTGCTCTAGAACTCAGTTAAGCATAAGCCGTTTGAGGAGTCTGCCAGGGAAGTCGTATCAAATACTCGCTCGCTCAACCATCTCATGAAATCTTATCCGCAATTCAGCAATACGATTTGGTGGGGAATAATTGCTTAAGCGTATTTTAATATCGATCACTGAGCAAGATCAATGTTAAAAGATAAGATACAATGCTGTTTGAAGAAACATTTCACGTTTTTAGAAAGAGTATAAAAGTTTTAAAAGCAGAAACTTAGCCCTTCTTCAAGCATAACATTTCAGGAAGACCTGACTGGCTATGGGATGATTACAAACATGATACGTTTACGTATGTTTGCTGTTATATCCAATTTAATTTATCAGGACAGTGGCAATTTATCGAAAAACTGCATACAACATACGAAGTCACTTTCGACGAGTAAGTTTTTTATGGGCATCCGACGTGTAGTGCGTCATAAAGCCGATTATTTTGGCATGCATGAACCACTATGGAATTTTGTTGCATAACAATATATAGCACAATCCCACTGCAGCAGTCCTTCTAATCAAAATAGCGTTTCAGAATTTCCGTTCACATTCCACTGACTGACTGTAAGGTATCCATGTCCTGGAAGTATTTGGTCGGTTGTGTACGTCTTGTTGCCGAAAATGATCTCGCCCTGAGCAAACGCGTTGAAAACGAAGTGATATAATGTTTCTGCGGGACACAATCGATACGTTCATACTCATATTCAGCAGTTTGACGCGCAGTCTTTACAGTGGAATCGCCCTGGCTCTGTCAAGACTTCGAATTGGACAAATTAAGGAGGCTATAACAGTAAATTCTAAGTCTGTGCGAGATTTTGTTCCGTGGGGTCCTGCCTGTCAGCCAGAATTCAGACACTGGTCGAACGCAATGGTAGGCCGCCATTCGAGATGATTCAGTAGGAATCAAGCTGGGTCAGTAAAG